TGAGGAAGAAGGAAGTGCGGGAAATATGTGCAGTACAAGTGAGCAACGGACCGAAAAGGTCTCAGCCGTAGATGTGAGCGTTGAAGACTCGTTCAAAACAGGAAATGATCCCCCTGCGCGGTTGTTCGGTGGTAAGCTTGTTGCTGAAGAAGTTGACGATGACAGCAGGTTTGCTGAAAGACCAGAAGCGGATGTAAAGCCGACTAGAGAAGAGCTGAGGCTTAGCGAGAGCCGGAAAAGCGCATCTGAAACGGAACCAGAGATTCTACAAAATTACGGTAAAAATGTTGAAGAAAAAGTTTGCAAGATGGAACTATGCGAAGATGAAATCAAGCGGGAAAATGCTGACGAAGAAGAGCGCACTGAATTATCAACGGAAGCAACTACCGCAGCACAGGAAAGCACTGCTGAAGAAGAAAAACTGGAAAAAGAAGAAAGCTCCGATAAGCCTGCAAAAGAGGCGACACCAAAACGCAGGAAAGGTCGACGTCAGAAAAGAGGGCCAAGTAAGAAAAAGAAAATTGAAGAAGTAGAAACAGGGCCTGAGGTAGATGATGAAGAGTTTATCCCAGAAAAGGTCCGAAAGTCACGCAGACGCACACTTCGAAGACGACGTAACGAAGATAGTAGTGATACACCAGTGGAATATGTTGAAAAGCGACGATCCGGTCGAACTGCCAATGCAGAAAAGAAAAGTTACGATTTACAGGCGAAATGGGATGAGATGGATGAGGAAATTGGTGAGGATGAAAAAAGCTTTAAGGGGAAAAAGATCGAAGAGCAGAGTGAGTTTATCATAGAAAAGATTATGGGCGTGAAGAAAAATACAGATGGGCCAGATACATACTTCGTCAAATACAAAAATAAAGCTTACATTCACTGCGAATGGAAATCGCAAGAAGAGCTAGAAGAGGGCGACAAAAGAGCTGCTTCAAAATTGAAGCGTTTTCATCAAAGGAGGGCACATAACTCGGAACAGGATGATGAAGAACAGTTTAACAGTG